CGCCGTAATCAGCCTTGAAAGCACTATAGTGACGCCAGAACTTTTAGATCATGACGGACATCCTCGTACCTCCATTTTAGGAATTATAATAAGACATCTGCAAAATGAAAACTTTTATTCATGAGGAAAGAATGAGTGACATCATCACCTAAAATTTTGGAACGGCAATGGGTCAAATTCTTCTCATTGAGAACACCTCGAAAAACTGGTGAGATTGACTCCCAACCATATGACCATGTTTTGCATATCCTTTCCGTCTGGGACGATAAGCTACGTGGATTCATATTCCAGGGACATTCGCAAGATGGCGAAACGGCTGCGAGGAACTTCCTTGGGAACGTGAAGTGGTTCACGGAAGCGACCGATCCCATTCGGCACAACAACGTTGTGTCAGCATTAGTAAAAGGTTGATTTTTCAACTTAACATGTTGCCACAATGTTGATATGAAACACAGCGCAAAGTAGAAAAGTAGATGCTGTGCAACGTTGTGCCAATGTTGAATTGTCAACGTACGGGCATTAAAGTACCTCCTCCCTTATCCAGAACCTGAAAGAGCGTAAATCAGCAGATTATGAGATTAATTATAGATTCGATAGACCCACTGAGAGTACCCAAGTGATATGATATAAGCAGTACTCTATTGAGTACAATCATCCCATGTGAAGGACCCTCAAGGCATTAATTCCTCTTTTGAATCAGAAGTCAAATTGAGTACTTACATGACTCAACTATCTCTGTTTAGTAAAGGAAACAAACCCCGGCAGTATATTTTTATGCCCTTTTCTCTACGGAAGAGATATAATGCCATGTGGAAATTTAGGAAAATTGAGCATGTCTCCTCGGACCCACTGGCCAGAAGTACCAAGAGTCTCCTTCTGCCGGATTACCTCCTTAAACAGGTCTATCTAGGCATTCCTATACCTTCCCTTATGTTGTAAATGGGAAAAAGATTGAGTACAGTATGTAAAATGCAGGGTACTGTTCATTTCAGGGCATCAGGGAAAGAGTGGCCGAATCGGCGGTTGGGAGCCATCTCGCGTCGATTCGTAGAACCTATTTTCTGTTGATATGATGTGGTTAACTCCACGTAGAAACAACATTGTGAATACGATGAAATACGAAGTTGTTCCTAATAGTCTCTGAACGACTTCCCTACTTCATGAGTAGTCACCAAATGCTGAAAATACGGTTAATTACGAATAACTAGCATTTCATCGATGTTGATATTTCGTCGAATTCTCAGCTTCAACCAAGTCTCAACGTTTCAACATTTTCTCAATGTTGATACAACGTTGTTGGGCTTAATGGGATATATTTCCAAATAAATATTGGGAAAAGCGGGAAAAACTATGAAGATCTGAGATTTAGCACAAGACATGTCCGAGATTCCACGATGACCTAACAGCATCGCTATATGGGACTGAGGGGTGGAATTCTGTCGGAAACGTAGTCGGAAGTCTCTTGATGCTAGAAGCGAGTCCTCTCGACGGAAATTCCTTGAGAGAACTCATAAGCCAGCCCTGCGTGGGATGGGGACTAAAGGCAAGTCATCGTCTATCAAGGAGACCTTCCTCTATGCCCCAATAATCGGCTACGTCGTGCTTCATCATTTCCTCCTTTCCACTGTGGAAGGGCTTTTCTTTCATGAGAAAATTCTAATTGGAATCGTGACTGCAAATAATGGTGAGCGGTGCTCCTGGGGGTCGTCTGATGAAAGTAAAGTCACAAGATTCTTACCGATTTTACTGAAAATGTCAAACAGGCACGTAAAACGAAAATTCCCCGACTCATCACGGCTCAGCGCAACTATTGGGGTTTTAAAGCATGTAATGTAGAGTTGACCCACTTCTCTATGACGTAATTTGTCCTGAATTCGAAAGGGTTGACGGTCCAGTTGGGTTACACCCTTCTCTTACGGTTGGTTGCAACAGCATGTTGTCTCGTTTGGCATCGTCGTCTGCTACAGATGTCGAGGAATAGGAAGATGAGGCGGAAAGCTAATATGACTCCTGCAATAAAAGGTAGAGTACGACGTGTGGTAGGTGCAACGTGCCCAAGTTCGAAAGTGGGTGGTGGGGGGGAGGGGGGAAGGGTTCCAAATCACCCTGTTCCTTATTCTGACGTAGCTTGTTTTTTTTATTATCTTGGCCTTGTCTATTTGGAAGAGTAACGACCAAAGACAGAGTTATGGCATACCATAACTGCAACGTAGCACAGAAATCAGATGTAACAAAGAATCTGCAAATCATTTTTCGAGGAAATGAAAAGATTTAGGGGAAACTGATGGGATAAATTCCTCATACATGTTCTGCTACACATCTTATGTTCGCAAGAGTTGGGAGCAGAGAAGAAAGGGAAAGAGGGAGCAATTTTCGTTTCCTCAAGTTCTCCTGAAGGTCATATTGATATGCGTATATATAAAATAAAATTTTCCCGCATCTGTTCCTCTTAGTTCATTAAGATTAGAAATGAATGTGAAGTAGACCTCTGACTAAAACTGCATTGTCTCTTTCGCCATTATTTGGAGAAGTGCTTCATTGAAACGAACGTCTCTGCTTTTGGAACCATTTTTCCACAATTCGACCAATTCTGAAGAGAAAAAATCAATTTTGATGATACTGAATATTTAACTTCATGCATCATTACCCCAAAAGGGCTACAGTCAAAGGCAAACACTTAGCATCCGTTTAGGCGGGAATAGGGTATTGCACCGTTACTTTTTTTTGCCGGCAACTAGAAGGCTCGGGTTCGAATTCCAGTTGTTCCCTGGTATTACTACATCTTCTCATGCAATCCAACTCTTCCCACAAATGACCACTGGCTTTACACACGGAATAAACCTCTCCATAGGTTACATAATAATAAAAATGAACCATATGAAATCTGTATCAGAGATGCTTGAAGCTGAGTTTGAAGATTGAAATTTGAAGTTTGAAAGTTTGAAGTTTGAAGCAATATCGGTTGTCATAAGGCTAGGAAGGACAACATCTTTGTTGCACTCATACCTCATCGTGTCGTGCTCCCTGGAGCAAAATATGAATCTTCCAGCTTGTACCGTTGAGACAGGACATGGCGAATGATGAGACCGGGGAGGCTTAACTGTCCAAACATTAGTAGTTTTACCTACACAATTTTTTTCCCAGCGTTTCTTCAGCCGTTGGAAGCATTGCTGGTACTCGTCTATTGGAATCGCCGGCAGCGCTCGGGTCGCCTTTGTAATGCTGCTTTGAATGTCCTCAAATCTCCTTCCTTTCGACACACACTTTAGCTTAGGGAACAAGTAGAAATCACCGGGAGCCAAGTCCGGCGAGTAGTGTGGATGACGAAGTAAGGGGATTGCGGGGTAAGTCAGAAATTGCTGCACCGAGAAGACGTGTTGGGCCTGGACGTTGTCATGCTCCAGAATCCACAACTTTGCCTCCCATTTTTTCTGCGAACGGCATCGCGCAGACGAATGAGCACAGTGCGGTAGGACAAAGCAAGCAAAGGGATTCAGACCTCACCGTGAGAAAGAGAAAGAAAAAAAGTGGGAGAAGGTCCTAAAAGAGTACCCATTCAGCACAACAGCGTTGTGTCAACATTGAGAAAATGTTGAAACGTTGAGACTTGGTTGAAGTTGAGCATTCGACGAAAAATCAACATCGATGAAATGCTAGCTTTTCGTAATAACCGAGTTTTTTTCAGCATTTGGTGACTACTCGTAAATTAGGGAAGTCGTTCAGAGGCGATTAGGAGCAACTTCGTATTTCATCGTATTCACAATGTTGTTTCTACGTGGAGTTAACCACATAATATCAACAGAAAATAGGTTCTACGAATCGACGCGAGATGACGCCTAACTGCCGATTCGACGATTGAAGCCCTGATGCCCTGAAATAAACAGTATCCTGCATTTTTCATACAGTACTCAATCTTTTCCCATTTACAACATAAGGAAGGTATAGGAATTTCTAGATAGACCTGTTTAAGGTGGTAATCCGGCAGCAGACTGAAAGTACTACTGGCCAGTGGGTTCGAGGAAACATGCTCAATTTTACTGAATCTCCACATGGCTCATACACTCACTGGAGCTCTTGCATAGAGGATATAGTTTGAAAACATGCCGGCGGGATTGTTTACTGAACAGAAATAGTTAGTCATGTAAGTACTCAATTTGACTTCTGATTCAAAAGAGGAAATAAGGCCTTGAGGGTCCTTTACATGGGATGATTGTACTCTATAGAGATCTGCTTGAATCATACCATTGGGGTACTCTCCGTGGGTCTATCGAATCTTCGAATCTATATTCAATCTCATCGGTTAATTAACGCTCGTTCGGACTATGGATAAGGGAGGAGGTTATATAATGCCGTACGTTGACAATTCAACATTGACACAACGTTACCCAGTAACACCTCTTCAACGTTGAAACATTTCAACATGTCAAATTGAAAAATCAGCATTTTCTCAAAATTTTGGCAAAATTGCCATCAACCTTTTCTCAACGTTGACACAACATTGTTATGCCGATTGGGTAGCTTCAGATCAGACTTTTTTTTTGGCAGTTCCGAAGTATCTAAGTACATAGACGATCGTGAGTGAATTGAGTGACTGACGCTAATTTTAACCATGTTCTAGAAGTGATGAAAGGCTGAAACTTGGTACACGAATAGCTGTTAGATTGCTGACTCCAGAAAAATTCCAACTTTCAAGATACTTGCCCCTGGGAATACATTTTGGGCGGACTGATTTTGTAAGCCTAGGCCTAACCCACGGACGGACGCTGTGCCTGTGCCATTCTCATACACACTTCCTTCAGCGAAACTGGAAGGAACGTGAATAGTTGCTAGGTTGTAGACTTTCATCACGTCTTCACGACTTCCTTCATTTTTTATTTTCCAAATCTAGCGTGGATCCTATTTCTCTCTCTCTCTCTCTCTCTCTCTCTATTTGAGATGTGTATTTTTCCTCGAAATTTCATCTAGTAATGTTGTAGTTGCTTATGTCATTAAAACTGGAGATGTACCCGTAAAAGTTGTCCCTTTTATCCAGAGGCCATGATTTTATAGGGAAAAGATGGAATGTCAGCATGACTCATCTGCTGGAAGTCCGTCAAAGACGAAGTCCTGAATCTCCTCTCTTCACTGCTCGTTTGGATTATGCGTTTTGCTTAGAGCTATGGTTCTCTCGGGAAGACACTGAGCACATGATGGTGTATTCCTTATGCGGGCATGTGATTTTCACGACCATCCTCTTCTTGGAGGAGTCTATGCACCTCGAAGTCCTTCGATCCCGTGAGTCTCAACCTTACATATACAGGGTGGTTTTTTATTCATGGGACCATTATACATATTTTCAATCTTGGAACAAATAGAGTTAGATGCCTGAAATTTTGCATCAAGAATCCCATAAACATCGGAAAGTTATGCTCTATGAAAAAACATGTTCAATGTGCTCTCTTCTGTGCGCAATTACATGTCGTAAGGGTGTGGTGTAATTCTGCACAACTGCCTGCAGAGTATCCAGGAAAATGGAACAACTTCACGTTCTGTGGCCGCCTTCACGTCTCCAAACGTGCATGGATTTAACCTTGACTCGAAGACTTTGTTCTTTAGGTATCCCCATAGGAAATAGTCACATGAACTGAGATTGGGGGGAAATGGTGACCATACTAATCCACCGCTGTGGATATCAGGAAATCAGCTAGACAGCATTCTCGTACTGGAGTTCTCGTGCACGAAGTCTAACAGCGTTCGTTGTGTTGGCAGGCCACGATCTCTATCCAGGTGACTATTTTTTCTTTGGATACCTAAAGGACAAAGTTTTTGAGTTAACTTTAAATCATGCACGTTTAGAGACCTGAAGGAGGCCACAGAACGTGAAGTTGTTCCATTTTCCTGGATACTCTGCAGGCAGTTGTGCAGAATTACACCACACCCTTACGACATGTAATTGCGCACAGAGGAGAGCACATTAAACATGTTTTTTTTTCATAGAGTATAACTTTCCGATGTGTATGGATTCTTGATGCGAAATTTCAGACATCTAACTCTATTTGTTCAATTATAAATATTTATCATGGTCTCATGAATGAAAAATCACCCTGTATTTTCTACAAAGATCTCATTATCTCGGACTCGAAAAATCTCATGAAACTTACGCTTTTCAGGATTCAACCTTTCTGCTTCGATGGGTTCTGCCAACTATGAAGTACGGGAGACGACATCACCGTCAACGGTAAGTCCATCCATCTTCATATCATCTCAACATAGTGTCAATGTGAAATTTTCATCCCTAAAGGGTATTCCACAGGAATTCAGAGGGTCATCATCGACACGAAATGACATACGACATCGAGTCCTTTTTTTCATGACGAAGGAAATATCGACGTGAAACCTGTAGCTGAACTTGGGGTGTCGTAGGGTAGCCGACTCTGTTAAATTTGTCATACCCGGGGTTTCGAATTTGTGAAAACGGGCTTCTTTGTGACACCTTTTTACTAACTGATCCAGCAGGAAGACCTACGCAGGGTCTAATACAGAAAGATTTTCTGTTAACCTTCCTCAAGAATGAGTGAAACTCACAAGCTAAAAGGATAGTGAGTGAATGGGTTAAAAATTCTGTGCCTCAGTTGCACTTCATGGTAACTAGCACCTCAAGTAAACTTGCAAGCAAGTTTGGGGCAACCATTATTGGTGACTTTTCAGTCTCGGAGAAATCCATTCGGTCGTTAACGATGAATGGGGGCGTATATATTCAGGAAAAGGATCAACAAGGACTTAGGCTTAAGATGACTAGATCAAATGATGAATGAAACACATGAAGGACAAATGTAAAAAGGGTGTCCGGCCTGGGCTTGGGCCAACCCATGTGAGAACAACAACCATCAGGAGTAGGACAAAATGCAACCCCATTTAGGAGAATCGGGGGGGGGGTCTGCGCAACTCGACGGTAGAGACCAGAATATAGCACGAGGCCCAAATTACTAGAGTATACGTCAATCCGGGGACACTAATACAACTCAGGCGAATTTTGCTCCCTTGCTGATCTCATCCAGGCTTTCAAGATAATTAAAGGAATAGATAATGTCGAGTGTGGTAGGTTTTTTCCAGTTCGATGGCAGCAAGAGAAATAGAGGTAATCAACTAAAGTTGCGCAAACCCCAGGTACGGCCCAGGTCGAGACAGGAATTCTTTACTTGCAGAGCAGTGAACGCTTGGAATGCGTTAGATGACGAAGTAGTGGCTGGCCCTTCTGTGACTATTTTAAAGAAGAAACTGGATGCTTTTATGGACAGGCAAATAGGTGGGGGCAATGTTGAAGTTAGGGACTAGGCAGTAAGCAACTAGGATACGCAAAAAAAAGTAAAAAATAACATAAAATAATAATTAAAAAAAAAATATATATATATATATATTATTTATTTATTTATTTAGCTTTAAGAGGATTAGGCCTACGCTAAAATTAAGGAACGCTCGACCTCGACACGTGATATCGAAATGGGTGTAATCGCCTCTTGATATCACTAAGTACCTTGATACCTTACTGAGGGAGGACCAATGAACACAAAGCTGTGAGTTCAGTGGGTCATGCCCGCTAAAACAGAGGCGTGTCACTACATTCCAAGTACTGTATAAGACGCTTGCTTCTGAGCTCCATGATGTCTCAATGAGTTAGGTTAAGTCCGGCTTTACCTGGACATCCCCTGAGATCCGGGTGATACTACTTAGATGTCTAGGCCTTAGCCTAACTCTTAGATGGCTTAATTTTCAGATTTCAGCTTTCACTAGCCAGGAATCTCTGCCTGAGTCTGGCACTGCGAAGAAGGGTCACCAAACAATCCTTGGCTGATGCAATGCTCAACCGCCCAGCACCCCCCCCCCCCCCCCCCACAGCAGTGTTACCTAGACTATCTACCTCATATTCACAATTGTAAACTCGAGCGATACACTCATTCTTACACATGAGAAGAAATGGCCATTGCTTCAACAATGAATAAAGAAATAATAATGTTCGATAAAATTCAATAATGTTGCACTCCATTACCGGATGAAGTTCATTCGGCTTTCGTTTGATTATGACATGTTCACCGGGACACTCGCTGGGTATGTCAACCTATGTGTCAACTCGATTTTTCCCTCGATTTGTGAAAACCTCCAGAGCGCACGTTGATGCGTCGATCTGCCCATAACTTCATCGGTACTTTTACCGACCAGGTCACCATTGATTACACATCGGAGAAAGAGAAAGCGATGGAGATGTTCCGGTCTTATCTGGATGCCAACGACTGGGAGACCGTGACGCACTTCCGTGACGATGGCGTCACCATCGTGTCCAGATTTGCTCCCCAACTTGACTCTCACGTATTTTTCGCAGAGGTGAACGCAAACAACTCGAATTCCTTTGTGCATTCTACTCGAATTGTCATTGCATGGACCATTTCGTGACTCCATGGATCCGTCGACTCACCCAGATGGAGTTGGATTTTCCCGCGGAATCTGCCTTTCGACGTATCTGGAACAATCCAATGGCCATTCCCGATTTTTACGCCGCGATCACCGAGTACAAAGTCCTCCGAGTCTGTCCATACTTTCCTTTTGCCGCTTCCGAAAGTGTTCTGTTTCTTTTGAATCCCTCGTCTCTGACCGCTAATTCCACTTCAGGAATTGAAGAACGGATGCAAAATCATCTACGAGGTTACTGCTGCCCAATATTTCGGATTAATCTCTGCGAGGGATTTCGTTCTGCTATCGTGTTACGAAAGAGTTGAGAACGCCCACTACATGACCTTCTCTTCCATACCTTGGCCAGGCGCCCCACCAGACCCGCGTTTTGTCAGGTCAGATTCCCCTCCGTATTATCTCCACTGCTACTGCATTGCAGTTAAATCAGTACGGTTTAGGTAAAAATTTTTTTGCGAGCTGCCAAACCCTTATGATGAGACCTCACTCTCTTCCCCCCTTTCCGTATTTTCTACATTTCCTCTGCACCGTGGAAGCAAAATTAAGTGAAAATGAGTTTTACTATTTGCTTCTTCTCTCAGGGGACACATGCACCCAGGAGGTGGAATATTATTCAAACCGGACCTTTTGAATCCAAGGAAGACTCTTGTGCGATACATTTACGCGACCGATCTCCACATTCCAATCGTACCTCTGAGCATCCTGAAGAAGTTCGTTCCCATCGCTCAACGGGACTTCGTCGTCGGTATGAGGAAATACTTGCTCTCTTCTGGCCTGAAGAAGGATCTCCACGATAATGATATGGCATAAATCCATGTGAAAACTGACGTCTGGTTATTTCTCATACTCGTGATATACGTCGGCCGGAAAATCGCGAGTGGTACGATTTCCATCGATTATCAGACGGTTCCAGAACATAGTGTCTCAGGAAAGAAACTTGCATTTTTCTTGGAAGGTCTCGTGCAGAAGAATCTAATGTCCTATCATTCTAATCCATTAAGCGATGACGCTTCAGATTAACTTGTTCTTATAACAATAAGTGACACTGTCTGGGAGGCCCTGAAACTAGCTGAATTGTTAATTGGTCTTAATCACGATGAGATATCTCTGCCCTTAAACCTAATGACTCTTTACTTTTCCTGAGGGATTAATTCGAAGTCATCAATTTCTTAGGCGATTACTCACTAATAGCGTGACTGTTACTCTGATTGACTTCTGATACCGACGTGGAAAAAAATGAAATTTAGCTTCCTGCGAATGACCGGAAAGCTCCAATTATTCCAAGAACACTTTGAGAAGTCGTTGAAATATCGCTCTGCTCACTGCGAATTGGGAAATGCGATCGAAGAGAGACGCAAGAAGAAAGCGATGATCGAAGGGAAATCAGATCCTCCAGCCCTTTTTTGAAAAAGCGCCGATGGCTTCGACTTATTTTAAAGCTTCTTAAGCTCTTAAATAGAAAGCTACTACCGAGAGCATGGCGAAAACAACCTCAAGTATGAAACAAACGATAAATGCATATTATTCTTAAGGGTACGATAGTATCACCTGCATATGCAACTCCGAATGTCAGAGCAACGTGCAAAGGGAAGAGCTTCATCAGGAAGTTAAGTTTTGTTACGTCCTTCTGAAATTGAATGATTTATTCCCTCAACGCGGATGGAATGACTGCAAGTGTCGACATCCTAGAATGCTCTCGCACAGACTCCATCTTCTTCTGAAGGGGACGCAAAATTTGCTTGAGCGGAATGGCATAAAATCGAAAGTGGGTCCATCAATTTGTCGGATGACCGGAACAACGTCGACCGGATGAACGCCAAACTGCAATGACAGCAGCCGGAATAACGTCGACCAGAACGGAGCCGAATAGGAGTAACGTGGAATATCCTTGACAACAGGTGAATTAGTTCCAATTTGATACAAGAGATGTCGTATGCATCTCTATCACATTTATACAGCGTGGGCGCAAAAATAAATAATTCAGGAGACTTTACAAATTGTAAAGTTGAAACTTTGCAGGATCGTTGTAGAAAAGTATGATTTTTCCTGTCAATTATTCATTTTGAACAGAACCAACATGAAGCCACCGGCAGAAATGTATTTATTTTAGTTTCTTTTTTTATTACTGATCCTGGCCATATTTCTCCCAGGAACTCCACTGATTCTGCTCTATTTCTTTATTTTGCAAGTGAGTGATGGCTGAAAACCTCGACGAAAGTGATTAAAATACCACACCAGAATATGAATTAAATTTAAAGAAAACTTTCGCAGATGGATGTGTGTCTCGCACAAGTGCAAAGACTTTTCAGAACACAATTTAAGAGGAAACTCCAGGAAGATTAACACTCAGAAGCTTCCGCGAGGGGAGTTCCATGAAACCAAAATTGTGCTGAGTCGCGATTTCTCCTCAAGTCCTCTTCAACGTGCTTGAATGCATTTCAACTGTGCTTCGAATCACACAAAAGGTTACATTCGTGGGGTATACCAATGCAAGGGAAGTAATTGAAGCTTTCCAGTACGAGGGCGTCAAAGCCCACTTCCTGGAACCTCTCGCGGAGCCTTCCGACGTGAAGAAGGAACCTCCAGGAAGACTGAGACCGAGTCCTGGGTGTTGGCGCTTCAATGGGGCACTCATCGCACTCATCGCCCCCATTCGTGAAACAGCTTTTATTTCTTCTAGGTTCTGGTGCGGCATTTTGATCACTTTCGTCGAAGTTCTCGGCTATCACTCACTTGGAAGTGAAAGAAAAGTAAGCAGTCAGTGAAGTCACTGGAGGAAATTGGGCAAAAATAAAGATAAGGATTTTTTTCTGTCGGTTCCCTGTTGTTTCTATTTCATATTTAAAAAAGTGATTCTAAAAAACGTCCACAATCTATTTCCTGTAAGGTTTCAACTTTGCTGCTTTTATTAGCTTCCATAAAATGTATTTTTCAGCGAAAAATTTTGCGTCCATCCTGTATATTGTTGCCTTCATGAGCAAAAGTCGTATCTCGACTTTTTAACATTTTCAGTAAGAGCGGAAAAACTGTTGACAAAAAACTGTTATGGAACAGAATAGGGTATATCAGCTTAATAATTCTGTCTAATAGAGCGGAATCTTTCACGATGACCAACTTCCGTCCAAAGCCGAAAGTGTGACCGGAAGCAGAGATACGACCTTTTCACTCGTCAACTTCGCATGCTAACCAGATGAGACTTTTTTACACGAAGAAATTTGGACTCATCAAGATATGACATTTTTGTCCCTCCACCGTTTTCCTGGCCTCATGATTGGGTTAGAGATACGACGTTTTCACACCCGGTGGCAATGATAAAAACAGAGCTTTTGTCGTAAAAAAATAAAAAGATTTCGGCAACCAGCCAATATACGACCTTTGCACTCTAAGGCGACGATATTGCATTGAGATTCCCAGAAACTGGTCGAAAGAACCCTTGGAAGACCCCCTCCCCCTCCTCGTCATCCAGTTCCCTTCTCATTCGGAAACGTTATCGTATGCCAACCTTTTCTGGAATTTGGCTAACTGTGTAGCACTGCATTCAATGACAAGCCTGAAATGGGGCGACACTTTTATTCGAGGGTGCAAATTCTACAGTCCATGATTATGTCCCAAAGCGACCTGAACGGAGGCCTAAAAGGTTTAGAGATTCTGCTGTAAACATGGGCATGTAAATAGCATTTAGCTCGGGATGTAAGTTTGATGAATAAATATATATTTTTAATTCCGCCCTTGCAGCATAAACTCATTCTCGAAAAAGCGTGCATGCAGATAATTCCAGTTCCTATTAAAACAAATTTAAAAATGAAGACACAAACTGTCACAACTGTCCATATTCCTCTAACTGATAGGGATAAAAAGGGCAGTCAAGCGAATAACACTAGTTCGACTCGATCGCAACACATACAGACTTCCACTTAAACACTCTTTCGCAGGATGGACCGGATAATCGACAAAAGGCTATGCAGCTCCCTTGCTAAACGATCAAGAACCAGTGGTGGGTCCAGGGGGGGGTATGCAAAACTGAACAGTGTTGTGCTCGTACAGCGTGAGTTCAACCGGTTGTATGGAAAAATGAAGGCTCCAATATCACAAGGCATTCTACATTGGTCCAGGCATTTAGAAAAACTGAAACAGTGACTAATCAAAAGAGACCGACCACACACGCCTGCTGACGTGGACAAAATTCAGGCAGCAATGACAAGAAGTCCTGTAAATTTTGCGAAGGTTATCACGTGAAGTGAATATGCCTATTACGACGTGCCAGCGGATTGTTTGTAGCCAATTGAACACAGCTCTGATTTATTCAAATTGCCTGAACCAACGCAGAATTCTTTGTGACGTTAGAGCCTTCTTTGTTCGGTACCGACGCTTGAACTCACACTGTACAAGCCCAACAATGTTCAGTTTCGCATAAAAAATCCCGCACTTCGCCTTCTGTTGTATCTTTGTCGCCATCTTGCTTCCTACAGTGCTGTCACTCACATCTCTCTACACCCACTCTACTAAAGTAGAGAGTTAGACCAAATTATTGCCAACTTTCACTTTTCTACATTTACTGCTTTTTGAGAAATAAAATTTTACTTTTGGATTAATCATTTTGAGACACTGCATTTAAAAATAAAAGGAAGATGCCATTTTATATGTTGATAACACAATGACATCCTGGAGCACGGAAACGTTCCTATGACAGAAGAAGCATCACCATATGAGCAACAGTGGCAAATTATCAGATTTCTCTTGTGTCTCTCTCAACAGGAGTAAATCGAGGAAATATGAACAACTGGCCAACATTCTCTCAGTTACTCTATCGTGAAAGAGCTCGTGGCACATTGCATTTTTCTTGTATGGGTGATGTAACTTTCAAAGACTTCTTCCAGAGCATTAAAAGCCTTGTAGATGAAACTTCGAAGAGTGTCCTCGATGAGAAAGTGCAGGAAAACTTTCAAGTAAGGGTAACTTGGGGGAATTTGGCCATTGTGGTAATATGGCCCTTCACAATGAATCCCTTAACAGAATGAATAATTAGTTTTGAAAATAGTTATATCGAAGAGTGCATGCAATTGTCGAAATGTTTAGACCTGTTCATTGATCTATCATAGTTCTCACTGGAATTCGGTATACATAGATTTCTTCTAGTCATATGCATGCGATTCTTCAACTCACGGCCCTGAAGCTAAAATGGGCTTTGAGCCACTTAAGTGTATATTTCCTAATCGCAGCATGGATACTGAAACCATTTGTTCAAAGTTATGTTATGGTTCCTCCTGAATGCTTGTGGAAAGCGCTAGCCCCTTCACTTGCGGTACACATAGGGTGGATTTTTGAACAGCGAATTATCCGATAATGCAGCTTTATTCCAGGGAAAAAACGTGATATTTCCTGGAAATAAAGCAGCATTATCGGATAGGTCTCTGTTCAAAAATCCACCCATAGTGTTGTCAATTTTGTCATGCAAGCTAATATGGGGGAATATGGACACATCATATGGACACATTGATTCCATGGTAGCACCGCACTGACCTATTGGTAGTGTCAACTTCCTTTCACTTGGGACCTCAGGCAGCAAAAGATCATCCCATGCACTTACTCTGGATACGTGGTATATGGATAGACGTACTGGACATCTGGACGGAATATGCAGTTCGCGAGGAGGCGATGCATGAGGATATGCACATGCACCACCTCTAAGACATCCACTTGACATACACCAAACATTTTTGCGACACAAAATTCGAATGCAAGTAAATACCCCTCGTATAATAAGTTAAAAGGATATTCTGCAATTTTTTGCCACTGTTTACATGCGTGCAAAAACTTCGCAACGTTT